AAGCAGCACCAGTCGGCCCCCCGGTGAGTGTGCACGGCTCCCGGCGCTGCCGTTGGTCGTGGCGTCGGTGAGGCGGGAGTCCGCGCCTGGGTTGTTCTCAGTGCAGCCCGGCAAAGCAAGCATGCTGACGAGGGTGGTATTCACTGACATCTGTGGGGCAACATAAAGTTTGTTCCACGGCCCACGAGTGATTAGATCACGGTTTTTGTGACTGGACGCTTTGCTGCTTCACTTCTTCCGTACCCGGGAGAGCAGGGGGTAAGAGGTAGTCAGGCGCATTTTATACCCAGTGAGCATCATTTTGTGCAGGAGTTAGTGGCTGGAGGGGATGCAGGATGGGAGACTCGGGCCCTGTTCATACAGCTCGTTATGCTGCTGTGATTACCTGAGGTCTTGTAGTCACCGCATTTAAAAATGTAACTATATTCTCAGGTCAGCGCGGCACAATGCCCAGTTGCCACACCTTTTCTTCCCACATCATCTCGAAGAAGCACTCCTGAGGTGCAGTGTCTGCATTTTCACAGGGTGGTGCACCTCCAGGGGACCGCATCTTCAGGAGCATGTGCCTGATGTGTGCATACAAGATCTGCCCTTTCAAAAGCAACAGGATGATGACCTATCTTCTGAGCTTTAATGCCATGCAGAGTGGAGGACTGGGGTGGCTTTAGGCCACCTTCAAGCTCTCCAGCTCGTAACATACATGGTTGGCCGCTATCTTCAACAGTACACACCAGCAACAGATACCCGCCCTGGCCTTTTTATAATCATGGCAGCATAAACAGGAAGCATTTTATAAGGACATCTCATACAGGGGCAGTCCTTAGACACCTAAATCTATCAACTCTCAGTAGGACCACTTGGCTCTGCAAGGAGGAGACTGGGTTTTGCTTCATACTATGTTATGTGGCACAACATAGGATCATTGATCAAACGATAGGATCATTGCAGTGCCTGTCACAGCCCTGTAATCTTGCCTAGAGGACAAGGCTGTTTAAGATGTATGTGCAGCTGTTTCAGGGAAAGTCCTCTGGGCTGTGAAACTAGCACATTTCTTTTAAAAAGTCAGAACAGAACAGAACAGTGCAGGGGAGAGAACCAAAATGGGTCACCACTTGTGCAGTGGCAAAAGCAGAGGAGCTTGTGGTTTTCCTGGGTGACTGGACTGAGGCCAGAGGAGCTCTGAGTTCACAACCACTTTGACTCTAGTTAAGAGGCCGCTATTTAAATCCTTCCCATTTATGTGCTCTCTAATGTTGCATTTACTTTGGGTGGGCTCCAGCTGTCTTAGTCCATTCGTAATGTAGAGCAGAGACAGCTACATCCCCAGCAAGCCAGCAAAAGAGAGCGCCTGTTGCAACCAGTGTGCCTGTGCAGGGCCTCCCCTCTCCCTTCCCTCTCCAGGGGCAGGGTGGCAGTGTCCAGGAGGAATTGGACGCTTTCAGAGCAAGGGTTTCTACGGCTTCATTAGTTGTTATGCTTTTGTAGCCAGATGAGGGACGTGCTCCTTTGGAGAGGAGGGTACTCCACGCTGCTCATTGGTATTCAAAAAGCACTGCAAATGCTACTGTGCAGCCATTTGTTATGCAAAAGACCCTGTGTAAGTTGGTATAGTGCGATACCTCCATAATGACTTCCTTCTGATGGATGCCACCTATTCCTTTTGTTAGCTTTTGGGCCAAGCTGAACATGCAGCCCAGGCCCCACTGTAGAACAAAACCAGAACTTTGTTTGCTTCCTTTCTGAATCTGCGAATGTTCTGCAATAGGCAGAAGAAATAAAGTTTAAAAAAAAAGAAGCAAGAAAATGTGGGAAAAGATTGAAAAGGGCTTTAGTCAGTGTGCTTTGGTAAATATTCCCATCTGCAGACCTGTGCCGCACTGTTTGGTGGCCAGGTTCTGTGTTCAGATCCCTGATCCAAGTGGGCCCTTTCCAACTGTCAGGCAGGCAAGCTGAAGTAGGAAGACTGGGAAAAAAACAGGACTTGAGAATGTTTTTCTACTGCATAATAAAAAGATTGTTCTTTTCTTTCTGATTTATATATGCTGTATCTGCTGCCTCATGTGGGAATGAAATGAAACTGAGTGTATGTCCTCCCATCTGCGTGCTCTCATCCATGGCACTCCACTATCCTAGAGGATGAAGCATTGGACATGAAATGTTTGTTGAAAAGATACTTAAACAGAAAATTAAATTTTCAACTAAGAAAAGCAGTTTTCCTGATAAATGATTGTTGTTTTCCACAAAAAATTCTAATTTTACCTTTAGCTTTTTCTGGCCAAAAAATATCTGGTCCTGATGCATCCATGCAGGATACAGGAGAAAGGGGTTATCATTTGGGGGGTTCTTCCTTCTGTGTCAGCCATACTGTGCCTGCCTGTGTTTTGTGTGTCTGGGCTGTGTGACTAACCTCTACCTCCCAGCACAAACTCTTGGGAGGCAGCATTTCTCATTTGGGAATTTCTAGGGAAAACAAAATTGAATTTTTTACTAAAAGAAACTACTTTTCAGCCAATTATATGAATAAGTCATGTGAGGCACTCTGTCCTTTGAAGAGGTGACTATGCCAATTTCGCAGTTTTCCTAGACCTCATAAATCAGTGCCGCTGAATCAGAGACCAGGAATCAAAAGCCATGGCAACGAGCAACTTAAGCAGACCGAGTTGTAACCAGTTAACAACCTTTCCCATTTGCAGAAATGCATCCACCTATGAAGTTTCATCCTCTCAATCCATCAGCTCACCTCAGCGGTCGAAACGAGTGAAGGAAAACACGCCTCCCCGCTGTGCCATGGTGCACAACAGCCCTGCCTGCAGCACCTCCGTCACGTGCGGCTGGGGCGATGTGGCGACCAGCACCACGCGGGAGCGGCAGCGGCAGACGATAATCATTCCCGACACCCCTAGCCCCGCAGTGAGTGTCATCACTATCAGCAGCGACACAGATGAAGAGGAGGAGCAGAAGCATGCACCTACCAGGTGAGCAGCGGCTCTCTGCTCTTCCGTGTGTGCAGGAGAGAGAGAGAGAGGCAGAGAAGTGCTGGAGCATCCCAGGCGTTGCTGTAGGGTCCCAGGAGCTACAGTTGGGTCTCAGCACCCAGGTCATCTTTCATTTGAGAGGAAAGATGATGGGAAGCCTAAAATGCTAGCTGAGGACTCCACAGACCTGGTGGAGGTGGTGCTTCCTACCGTGCTGTATGTTTGCTGTGTGACCTTGGAGAAGCGTAGTATTCTCTCTGTGCCACAGTTTCTCATCTGTAAGAGGAAATTATAGTTTTCTCTATCTCACAAGACTGTTGAAAGGAGACTTTAGAGATCCTGTGGTGATGAGCCTCTTTAAGTCAGATAGCTGTTTAAAACAAAGACAAAAAGAAGGGCTTGGAAGGAAGGTAGCTTAAAATTGCCTTTACTCTTTCTAAATGATGCAGGCATCTGTAAAGAGCATTAAATGACACCTCCCATATGTGCTCTTTTCCATAAAAAGTTCCTGAAAAACAGTTAGTGGTTGAGTCATAAACAATAATGGTAAATACACTGCAAGAGGTTTGCTCAGTTCTGAGCGTGTAGCCAACACATCCCTGAACTATTGTCTTAAGTGGCAGAAACTGATGGCTTTTTGACTGACTCTGCAGAGAGGCATAGATGAGGCTATAAAGACTGTGGTGACTGAGTTTGCTCCTCAGAGAATTAATTCAGCCGAGTGAACAGTGCGGCCCAGGACAGCTGCCACTGCTGATCGTCTACTGTGGATGAGAGAGGACTTAATTTTCCAGGACTGTCTTTTCAGCACCTTTCATCAGATGCAGGCACTCTAGGTTTCCTATCTGATGCCAGACACAAGACATCACTCTGCTTTGTAAGTTGTATAGAAGTAGCCTTGCAAACAGCTGAATAATTATACCATCTTTATGTTGGTAACTGAGCTAGGAATTTTTTAACCTTATCCCTCCAGTATTGTCAAGAGAGAATTCATTTTTTTATTTATTTAGAACATGCTCCATGGCAGATTTTCCTTTAATCACTGGAGATATCTATCTATATCTCTGCGCTGTGCTGGTAAGTGGAGCACTGCAAATGTGCACAGAGCAGATGAGATGCATTTGGCCTCAAGGAGCTAAAAATCTGTAAAGAGGAGCCACGCGATTCAGGCGTCTAGGGCTGCAATTTCAGCCTGCCTCCCGCCAGCTGCCACCGCTTCCCATTCCCCTTCACCCTACCAGTGAACTTCACCAGGCAGTGAGAGCTCAGTGCCTCTCACATTCAGATTTGCCGTGAATGCAATGGTTATCGTGGGGAATTGATCACAGGACAGCATTAACGTATTTCACTTTAAAAAAAAAAAAAAAATTGCTACAGTATTCCTTAGTTTGGTAGGGAGAAGAAAGCGTGTTTCCAGAAAGAGTTGAATGAAGGTCAGCATGGAAGTCAGGTAGAGTATAAATAAGGAGCTCCCACTTTCAGGGCTCTTATGGGAAAGGAAGGGCAAGACAAAAGAGATGCTTAAAACTAAGATTGTGAGGTGGGGCAGCATGAAGAGGGCAGGTATCTCAAGGGTCATGGGAGCCATTTGCAAGCATGTTTACCTATGGTGCTGATCCCAGACTTTGGGGAAGTTATGTGCAAATACTTATACTTACCACCTGGGCTATCATCTTGGGCCCAGAGCAGGGTGGAGGGAAGAGCTGGGATCCTGCAGCCGCTTCAGCTAACGGTTGTCTCCTCTGCTTCAACTTTGCTGCCATCTGACCAGTTTCTTCACTCGGCACCTCTCCAGGGAGACAGACAGAACAAAGTTCTGGAAAGTGTCTGGAAATCGAGTTGGGAGTTTGGGGTATTTAAATATTCGGGCAAGGTCTGCCGAGGGGTTAGGAAAGTAGTCCCAGGAGCCAGACTTACATAAACAAACTGGCTTTGATATGACTAAAGCATATTCAGGACATGTTCCTGCCTGGGATCAAATCCCTGGCTACTTTTTGTATCCACATGGCATATCTATACAGAGTGCCAGGGCAACAGCATTCCTGGAAGGCCAAAGCTCAAGAGCTAGATTTAATTTCTGAGCCATGTAGAGACATTTTGTGCTGTTCTCGGGCACCTTTTGGAATTCCGGAGTGAGTTAAATTGCCTCTGCAGGTGTAACCAGAGCGAGTGGAGAATTAGGGGCAGAGACACAGATGGAAAACAGCATGTCCAGAATGAGAATTTTTGGTTAAAGTCTCCAGGAGAGTGAAATCTACTCGCTCAGTGCCTTTTGACCTGGGCATATCTAAGACGAGATTCTCAGCTGGAGTAGAAATGTAACTTCCAGTCAAGGAAGCTGTATCAGCATTTAATGCCAATGAACTTTGCCCCTGCCAAAGTTGAGGTCTTTTTCATTGAAAGCACGTCACATTTAGGAAAGTACCTCTGAGTTTTCTTACTTATTTTTTTGGCTCCAAGAAGAATGGGAGTGATAGTGAAAGATGTTCTTTACTCTAATCAGTGCCCAAATGTTCCAGTTCTGAGTCGAAAATGAAACCGTGCAAAGAATGCATTGTCTCACCCATATTTATGCAAATTTTACCCTGTTGGGCAATTGCTGTGGTGTGGGGGTGAAAAATAAAGAATAACTTGAAACACGCTATTGGTCACATCCTAACATACTAGCCTTTTCTAGATTAGAATACAGAAATCATATGGCACTTTGACAGATCAGTCAAAGTTAATTGCCTGATCCCATCTTATTGATAGCAGTGGTATCTTTGCATTAACTTCACGTTGGATCAGCTCCTGAATTTGCTACAGCACTTCCTTCTTTTATTTCCTGTGGGACTGGAAATTTCTCTTTGACCCATGAGACTAAAAATGTTTATTTTATTGATTGCTCAGCAAAGAGAGATTAGAGCTACCTGTGGTTGTGAGAAGTAGTAGATCCTTCGACGATGTAAGAGTTCGTAAGTCTCAGTTTAAGAAGCACTGGTAATGCTGATAAAATATGATATTGCTGATGCAGTAAACGAGCCCTACAGCTTGGATTTACTCCAACAGAAAAGCCTCTGTAATACCAGAGCAGCAGAGGGAGCTTTTCTGGTACAGGGGATGCAACTTTTTTATTGGCGAAAGAAAAATCTGAAGAATTTGGTGTGATATGGGCAGAATTTTCCTTTTCCTAATGAAAAGCACAGATGTTCAAGTAGGATGTTTATGAAATACCAGCTGACCGGGCGGGCAGGCCAGCATGTTGCTCGTTCTTTGCTCACATGTGTTTTGCACTGTTCATGAGTGTAGCTTGGTGTAATCTTTTTAAAATCAATAGTCATCTGAAAATGTTGGGCTCCTGTTGGGTAAAGGTGCTGGGGAGGTGGTGCAAGGTGGGCTCTGGAGGACCTGCTCGATGGAGCCTTGTCAAAGGGGGCCATCTACTGGGCCCTGGCCCCGTGCCTGGGGCAAAATCACAGAGGAGGGACCTCAGGCACAGTTCGGCAGGGACAGTCCTCAGAGAAATGGTCAGAGATTTTCAGGACGAAAATTCCTGATTTAAAAAGTCCGTTTGTCAAAACCAAGGCTTTTTGCAGGCTACATTGAGATGTTTGATGTTTCACACAGTGAAATCTGGGGAAGCTTCAAAACTGCCAAAAGTTTTTACTTTTATTTAAGGGGGAGAAAGTGTGATGGGATTAACTAATTAAGAGGAAGACTTCTCTTTTCTGGTTTAATGAAGGGGGCCTTCTTCTTTCAAAATGTAAGCAAATAATAGGGAAAAAAATGAAATTGTCAAAATAAAAAGGGAACATTTTTACTGAATGAAATTGTTTTTACCTGGTTTCTGATGCCCACAAAATTTTGCATGTGACATTTCATCCTGTAGAACAGCAGAAAAAAATTTGCATATAAAAAGCATTATATGAACAGGAAACAATTTTGTGACCCTGTTTGTTTATCAACAGTGAATTTCTAGACTCTCAGTTCAGCATCCTTTACAAAGAGACTCTATAGGCCAGAGAGATGTTTACTGCTGTGCTGTAAGATAATACCCTGACTGTTATTTATTCTGGAAAGAAGAATAGGAAGGGTCTAACCTTTACCTGTAAAGCACTGAAGAGAGCAAAAACAGAGAGTAGACTTGATATTTTTCTTATCAATTTATTCCTCTTAAGTTTCTCTACTTGCTCTAGCAAGAAAGTCAAGCAGACAGACAGACGGACAGTGCAACTGCAGTCGCAGTAATTGGAGCACATATTCAGCAAGTAACAAGTAGTAGGGGTTAAGTGCTCCCCAGTATGCACCTTCACATGGTGCAGTGGTTTAAATGTAAATCCTCCCTTGATTAAGTATTTCTGAAGCTTAGAAGTGGAAAAAAACAAAGCAACAACTCAAACACAGAGCAGAGAGGCACAAGTGCACCCTGGGATGGCTGAATTGTGGCTGTGAGGGAGGGAGAGCACACGTGGTCCTGCGGGAGGGATGCGCCGGCTGTGCTGGTGGGGCAGCGAGGGGTGTTTCCATGTCCTGCCAAGGGCCGCGTCGCAGAGCGTGGCAGGAGGAAGGGCTAGAAGGAACGGCAGTGGAGGTGGCCGTTTTGACATGCCTAGATGATTTTCCAACTTGAGCAATAAGTGCAACAGCCACGGAAAACACGACTGTTTTCTTGAAACAATACAGTGATGGCCTTGAGGTGGGTGGGTTTGAGGGTGCTTCCACCCCAACGAGGCGGGAGAGCCCCTCACTTCCCCACTGCCTGCTCTGTCTGTGCTGGTATCATAAGTAACACCTCTCCAGCTTCGCTTTCCATGGGATCCTCACTGTCTTCCTGGGCAAGAAAGACTGACCACAGCTGTCATGTGGGCATACTGAGTAACTGCCTCATGGGACATCGTCACTGGCACAAAATTCTTGCAGGGCTGGGTTTTTTTTTCCTTTTTCTTAAAATGGTAAACTATACAGTGAAGTCTCTGTGTGAGTCTCACGTTTATAACTGAGCGTGAGCTGACGCAAGTTGT